TGCCCCCCATCCCCCTTACTTTTTTTTTTCTCTCTCAGCTGATCGTGTCGCGTCGACCGCGCGCTACGACGGGGGACGCTACGCTTTCCCTAGCTGTGTCAGCACAAGACACATCGTTCGGACTCGTATATACATGTGATGAATAAGCGTTCCAAGGCTGGTTAATCGTCGACAGGTGTCACGTGCCCCGCGGGAAGAAGTGCACCGCGGATAGCACCAAACTCTTACGGAGAAGCCACAACTACAAAAGAAACATTTTCTGCCAAATTTAGCGGCAGTCTGGCAACAACCACCCCAAAGTCTAGCAACAAATTTATGCAACGCCAAATGGAACCTTGCCGTCGCGGCAAGTGACCCCGCCACATCACCTTTCGATGAAATGTTCTGCGCTGCGTCGACTTTGTGCCTTCCGACGCCATCGTGGGCATCACATTGACTCGGAAGGGTATCGTGACCTCGTGTTCCACGACGCCTCTCTGTTGCGCGCAAGTGATGGGTCATGTGCGTTTTTCAACAGAAAAACTGTGCATGTGAAATGTGACATGACTCTACAAGTGCACATATTTGGCAAGCCGGTTGATTGTAGCGCAATGGGTGTAAATAATTTTGCTGCAACGGCATCGCAAATTGAACATATCTTGAAAACTGTTGACAGTGTAGATGTCTGTGGTGGAGAACCCAGTTTGCAGGATTTTCCTTCTGTGGCCCCCGGGTCAGCTTTCATTGACTGCCAAAGCAAATGGAGGCATAAAAGGTGCCAAGTGTTGTTACCGAAGGGAAGCTTATGTCGTGCATGCAGCAGTCTCTTTGATACTCTCAGAATTCTTGCAAAGAGACAGGCTGCTCGAGAGGAACAACGGCAACCACTGAAGCGCATCAGGCTGCCTGTGTCGCATACCAAAAACCACATAGTTGACGCCTTGCGTCAAGCAAGGTCCATTTTAAAGAAGGCGCAAGCACGGCTACTGAAGCGCAACCAGCTGATTACTAAAGAACTGGAAGAAAGTAAAGCTGAAATAATGAAACTGCAAGAAGAGGATATCAAAAAGAAACTCCAAGCTTTTGATATTCCACCGATGCAGCTTCTTGTGCAAGAATGTATATCTGTAGCTAAGTGCACTACAAAAAATAACAGGCGCTATACAGATGACTGGCTACTCCTATGCCTCTTGCTTAACATCAGGAGCCCCTCTACTTATGCATTTCTATGAAGCAATAACATATTGCCGATGCCATGCACAACCACCATTAGAAGATATATTAACATGGTGGGGCTCAAATGTGGTTTTGATGAGAACTTTTTTAGAGCTCTAAAGATTAAATTGGCAAGGGAGACACCCTTTCAATGCAGAGGGATGCTTATTCTAGATGAGATACAGGTCAGGAAAGACATGACTAAACTCGAAGAACATGACATATGCTGGTCTTGTTGACTATGGAGACCAAGGTGGACAAAGCAATGAGCTGGCTGACCATGGTCTAGTGTTTGCTTTTGCCCCTTTTGCTGACAGCTATTTACAACCAGTGGCAGTATTTGCACCAAAAGGTACAACTAAGGGTACACTCCTTGCACAGCTGTTGCTTCAGTGCATTGTGCATTTAGAGCAGGCAGGAGTTGTTGGTGTGGCCTGTGACGGTGCATCTACCAATAGGGCCATGTGGAAGCAGCTTGGGGTAAGCGGTGCTCTAGGACATGTCGTAAATGCTTTCGGGCATCCCCTAGATCCATCCAGAAAAGTGTATGCTGTGGCAGATACTCCTCACTTGTTCAAGTGTATTAGAAATCGTCTTTATGATAAAAATATTGAAAGTAAATGGGAAAATTGTGAAGTGGTCATGCTATAATGCACTTTTTGTTGCTGACACAAAAAACGCAGCGGAGCTTAGGGTGTGTTCAAAGTTGACTTACTCGCATGTTAATCCATCACATATGCTCAAAATGCGAGTGAAGTTGGCCACACAAATTTTTAGCAACTCAGTTGCTAAGGGCGTTTCTTTCTATGAATGGAGAGGCACACCACAGCTTGAGAATGCGGAATCAACTGTGGACTTTACGCTCCTAATGAATGATCTTTTTGATGCCCTCAATCGTCGCTTTGCTGCAGAAGGCCTCACCTTTGAATGCAAAGACTTCCATGTTCTAGAGTCAGCATTTAGGTGACCTGATGGCGGGGAGCAGGAAGTAGTGAGGGATGACATTCACAAAGGTCTTTTAACGCAGTCTACTGCTGAAGGCCTGCGTGTTACACTTCAGTCTGTTCAAGAACTGTCAGCATTTCTTCTGAAAGAGTGCGAGTTCAAGTATGTCCTGTCAGCCAAAATGAACCAGGATCCGTTGGAATGCTTTTTTGGTATTATAAGACAAGCAGTTGGCCAAAATGAGCATCCAACATTTCCGACATTTTTGCAGCTTTACTGCATGCTTTCCTTGTATTCTTTGCTCAAGCCACCAAAGTTTGGTAACTGTGTTGTTTCCGAGAAAAACCAATCTGCTTTTCTCACCCTGAGTGATTTCAGAGAAGTGTTCAAGGAGAAACTAGATGGCCTCATCAGTGAGGAAACCTGGGAGTGCGATGAAGTTTTTCAGCATGATTATTCTGATGCCACCGTCGTGGACTGCATTGTATATTACGTCACTGAATTTGTGTCGCAAAAGCTTGCCACTCAAACTTCCTGTACAATTTGTAAGGAGGCCCTGGTTGGGCAGAAAGGTACTTTAAAGCTACCAGAAGCTGACTTAGTAAATTGCAAAACCAGAGGGGGGCTCACACATCCGAATGTGCGTCTATTTCTTCTGTTTAAAGAGGCTGAGGAGCCCTTCGCAAAACATGCTGGTGAGAGAGATGTATATGATCGCACGACAGATACAGAGCTAGAAAATTTCAACTTCTCGTTTTTATGTGCTGCTCTCAAAGAAGAAGTTCTTGCCAAGCTATTGCACTATTAGTGCCTACGCATGCGGCAATACTGGAGGCAGCTAAAGAATAAGCATGTAAAAAAGAACCAAGACTTCGGCAAATTGTCGGAACTTGTATAATTGATTCAGGAGAAGAGAAATGTGTAATATGTGTGCAATAGTGCTTATATATACTGTGATCATGGTGTACAGTGATGTACTCTTTGTTTTGTGTTTGTATGTAAAGTGTTTCATTTATAAATGTACTGCTGATATAATCCAAATAAAGAAAATTTAGGATTCTCACCCACGCAATTGTGTGTGTCCATGTCATGAAGTATAGGAAAAAGTCATAACGAATACTAAGATGTATATACATGAGAAGTTGCACAGAGCAAAAGTGTTGAATGGGATATCGCAACTCATTAGCCGATATTTTTGGCCAAGATGTAGCTAGCGTTCTATGTGGGTTACTTTCATCCCCTAAATTTCTTGCGCGCTTACCGCCAACGCTAATGTTATCGCATAATAAGGCCCTTGCGAGCGGCGGAAAAGAAACTCGGCATGTACTCTTGACCGCCTACGACTGTGACGAAGGTGTAAATATTGCGCAGATTTCTTGATGTAATAGGCGGTTTTAGAGAAACTTCCCGTCACCCCCGCAAATATCGGCCAGACAACTGGGACATTGCCACAGACGCGCTGCTTCGCCTTTGCTACATAAACCTGAATGCTGCATGCTTAATAAGTTCAATCATAAATTTTTAAGGCAGAAAGGTCAAAGAACATATTTTAATAAACAATCTGCTTCATAAAAGCTGCATTCGGTGCCATAGCTAGGCCAAACTGGCTTCTTACTTACCGAGCTTGAGCTAGGGTGGCTCCGAGCTCTACCGGCTCTGCTGCGCCGGCGGGGCATTAGTTGCTAGCGCTGTCTGCTAACGGGTTTGAGAAGCAGAGATTTGTCGCGAAGCGAAGAGCGGTGGCGTTCTCTCACCTAAACTATTCTTACATTGTGGTCAAAACCACACAAACGAGTGCGAACAGTCACCACACACTTACCGTCGCTCATAGCACGTCACATTCACAATAGAACACTCAATACAATTGCACATCGCAATTCAATCTCACAACACATGAAATATAACCACATGTACATAAATACAACACTCCATCACACATTTCAGACAATAGAAATGTACAAAGGTCTGTCTTTACAACAATTGTACAATCCTATACATCGCATCACCGCAACAAACACTGACTCGCTCGACATACAATTGTGACACCGGATAGCAACAACATTAACACAACATTTGGCTTTTCGGCACTTCTTCTTTCTCCTGCTTTCTCACTGAGGACAAAAGCTTTGCCGACTACATGGCGGAACACCCTACGCACTCTGGCGCATACTTTCTTCTTCTCCTGATCTTCCATCTCTGCTGCTCGGTTAAATACCCTTTGCGCTAGATTCCAGAAAATTCTCATCATTTCCATCGGCGCGATGCGCTGCCGAGGCTGGGGAATGAGCGAGACGGTTTGGGGGCCGTCCGCGACACATGACGCAACTCTGCATCACCACGCCCCTTTCCCTCGAGATTCCAGGGCTTGCTCAGCCGCCGATGTGAGGAGGTTGATCGGCCGAATGACGTGTCGAGGGGGAGAGACGCGCACCCAGGGAGTCTTTGGATGCTTGTTTTTTCTTTATCGTTGACCTTGAGGCGCCTCTCTTACGCTTGGTCGTGAGAATTCGGCGGCGCGCCTTTTTTTTTGAGCACTCGTATGTGACAACCTCCCCTTTCACCCTTGTAAATTCTAGTACGGTCTCATTCACAGCAACGGTGTACTGCAGTGGGAGTGTCTCAAATTAACTACATTCTATTCATCAAAGAACAGTGCAAGAAAATATATGAGCTGCTGTCATGTCCACACAGTCCAATTTCGCTTCCCAGGACTCGACACAACACAACATGGAAGGGTGCGAGGCAAAAACTCTGTCGAGCTCAGATCCGAACACCCAGGAGAGCTCAGATCCGAAGACCCAGGACGCCCTTGCTAACAGGAATCCCAGATTAAGGATTCCACGCACCGATCTTCTCGTGTAGAACACAAAATTAACCTTTATTCTCTTTGTGCCACATTTTTATTTATTTATTTAGCAGTCACGTCAGGATGGATTACATAAAATAATGCCGAAACAGCAGGTGGCTAAGGTGGCCTCCACTTCTAGCTAAAACTAGCACGACAGAAAACACTGAAGATAGTCATTGTTGCACAATGTGGTGGCGTCATTTCAACAACTTTCACAGTTTTGACGCGAAAATAAGGAATTGTGTCATATTGGCACAACTGTTGTACGCATGCTAAAAAAAGCGACCAAGCTCACATAGTGAGATGTCTAGTCCCTTCTCTGCTATGAGAGTAAAATAGCCGCTATATACTTTGTCCTAAACTAAAGAATAAAATAAAATAAAAGGTCCATGGACCATGCACAAGCATGATCCTGTGCAGCAGAGGGCACCTTGTTCAGAAGTTCTTTCTTGCAGTCCCAATATGGCACTGGTTCACCTACAAGAAGAAAAAGAAGGCATAGTATTCTTTTTTTACCTACAGTGCCTTTGTCACATGAGCTCATGCAGACCGAGGAGCTAGAGAACAGTGTCTGCCAAACTTTGCTCTGAAAAAAGAAATGCCCCGGTCCGGAGAATGGACACAATGTTCCCGACAGGCACGCTAGTATCTCTAGACTTGGCCCGAAATTTCGCTTTTAGCCTGCCATGCAGCATCTCTCGAGTTCCCATCAAGGAGCACCCTTCCTGCTAAAAGGCTGGCATTAACCAGACTTTATTCAAACATAAGCTAACCTCGCTACATTGTCGAGAGTGCATGCCGAAATTCGATGAACTTTGTACTGGCACAGGAATGAAGAAGTGTGCCTGACGATTAAAGCAAGGCATATCGATAACAGTGAGAACGCATGCGTGAGCCAGCTATAACTTGCATAAAGATGAAATCAGATGCCTCATAGCGGTTATCTTTCACTTAGAGCCCCTCAACTCATGCTAGATGGGTTCACATATTGAATGCGTGAAAAAGCTTTCGTGCCTTCTTTCTTATCCGCCATTCTGCACATCTCCAGTTGTTAGTGCGGTGTTCGTCATTTCGTGTCCTGAATTCAAGTCTGTAATCTCCGAGTCATGGATCAGTTTCAGTTTCGCGTGATGCATCAGATAGCACCGCACAACGGCAATTTTCTGTAACCATTGTTACCCACTCTCTCTGAATAAAGAGCAAGTCCCTCCCATGTTCTCAGCTTCGCTCGACAATCCTTACAGCACTCTGGCGCTAATGTGCTCATTGTCTCCGCCGGACAATAAGGTGAATCTTGAGGCAATACAACAGCAAGCATATGTGGGGTCCAGAATGTTTGCATGCCCCAACATTTAGAACAAGTATTGAATTATTTCTTGAGTGCCAAGTACAAATCTGGTTTCTATTCACATTGGCTAGCCATCACACAGTCAGTTTCGCAATAAGGACTTGGATGTGACCACTCATAGCAGCGGCCGCACTTTGGGCCAGATTACAAAGGCCTGGCGTCATGGTCAACATACTAAAGAACACTGCGCAGTACAGCTGACAGCACTCATAGCAGCGGCCGCACTTTGGGCCAGATTACAAAGGCCTGGCGTCATGGTCAACATACTAAAGAACACTGCGCAGTACAGCTGACAGACTTTTTTCTGGTGAAATAGCGAAGAAACTTTCTGCCTATCCTAATCTTCGCATGAGTGAAGACATGCCTGAAACAAACTGCATCGTTAGCATGCACTGAATTACTATAAGCATTGATAGGTATGTGGGGTTTAGCGTCCCAAAACCACCATATGATTATGAGAGATACTGTAATGGAGGGCTCCGGAAATTTCAACCACCTGGGGTTCTTTAACGTGCACCCAAATCTGAGCACACAGGCCTACATTTCCGCCTCTATCGGAAATGCAGCCGCTGCAGCCGGGATTCGATCCCGCGACTTGTGGGTCAGCAGCCGAGTACCTTAGCCACTAGACCGCTGCGGGGCTCATTACAATAAGCACAGAGACTTGGGAAAAACACTCTTCTTATCACCACTTTGTCATCAAAAACTTCCCCGACTACAGACTTAGTAATGGATGCACATAATCGTACATTTATTTGATATGTGAGGTTTAACGTACCGAAACTACCACATTATGAGAGATGCCGCAATGGAGGGTTCTCGAAATTTTGACCATGTGGGGTCCGTGCAACGAACTCTGAGCACACGGCCCACAGTATTTTCGCCTCCATCGAAAATGCAGCCACAGCAGCAGGGATTCGATCCTGCAACCTGCAGGTCAGCGGCCGAGTACCTTAGCCACTAATGCGCATTCATTACCAGTTTAATTATACTTAAGTAGACCGGTAGTAAGGTGAAGACAGGGAGTGGTTATATGGGAAGGGGTGCCGGAATTCCTTGGTCCAGAAATGATCTATGTTCACCTGGGTGGCAAAGCGGAGAGAGTTGACTGTTTCACTGATGTTCTCCTCGCGGGGAGAGATGTTGAGGAGCATCAGCGTCTTGCTGTTCCCACCCAGGCTGTCCATCAGCAAGTGCGTGAGCTTTGAGTTCCGGTACGGCACGTGGTCATCCTGAGGGGCACACACAAAGAACAACACCTAGAGTTGAAACTCTTGCCGTGGGGAACCACTTCAGCAGGGCCCCCCTCCTCATTTTGTTTTTTAAGTGAACAAAAAGGGACCAAGAGGAGCAATAACTCTTCCACGCACATTGGTGTACACGTATTACAGTAAAAGCTCGTCAATTTGGAAATTCACCCAAATTGAATGTGCTCGCTGGTCCCGGCCAGCAATGTTGCATTGTATGATGGCATCAAACTCTCGTTAATTCAGTCCCATGAAATGGCAATCCAGTTAAATTCAGACAATCCCTGGGATGCAAAGCGCTGCACATGTGTGACACGAACGGTTATAAATGGCCTTCAAGAACAGCCGAGACTGCCGTGTGATGATGCAACAGTTATAATTGTGTCGGTACGTATTAAAGTACAGATTTCAATGTTTCAAGTTTCTTGGCATATTTCGCATTGAGACACAGTAACTTGAGCCGCATTCACTTTCTGTACAGAAAGGCCGACTTATGGCCTCGTTAGTACAACACAGTATATCTTGAAAGTGACTTAGCACAAATTTCTGCTGCATGGGACAAGACAAAGGGACACACACACAGGTGCCTGTGTGGGTCTCTTCGTCTTGTCCCCTGTGACAGAATCTCGGCTAAATCACTTCAGGCTTGTGTACGTAGCCTCAAATGATGAAAACTATTTTACTGCTCTTATGAAAGATAACTATTTACCAAAAAAATAATACTATAGCAAGGATGCAATTTGCTTTTGTTTTTCTTGATACCTTTAATAATATGGCATTTGGCTTTTCCGGCATTTTTCCAGGTTCCTTCAAGTCTAACAAACTTTTACTGTAGCTCAAACGTCTTTAATGTTGATACAGAAATCTCTACGATACACAGACTTACGCAACTAAATAAAAGTGTCGACTGACCCGGTTTGAGAGGGCAAGGATGACATTGCCGAGGTTGGCAAGCGAGCGATTGATGTTCTGTGCCTCGCGCAGGCGGGCCCCTTCTGACTGAGATTCAGAGAGGCGTTCGCTGCCGGCCAGATCCACCAAGTTCAGGCGCCCTGCATAGACGGCAAGGGTGTCGTGTCAAGCACACTTCTCACCAGAAGGTGCACACACATTCCACAGTGCCGCTTGTTTTCGATCTGTTACACAAGATTTGTGCGAGAAGTGTGCCTCAGTGAAATTAAATGGGAACCTCTCTATGCATCTCAGAATGCTTTCAAGAAAGCCCAAGTTGCCGCAGACATTTTTTCCACTTCCTCAATGTGCCAAACTGCACACTGCTTGCCTGCTTCCCATGTGCGAAATGACGTTTGCTTGGGGCTCCCTAAACCGACCTGCTGTGATAAGAGAAGGGCCTGAAAAAAAAAGGAAAAAAAAAAGACCATCCCTTCGAAGGGAACCCCAGTGGGATGAAAAGCAGCAATGGTGCGCACGACGTTGACCCAGTTGAAATGAGCATCGACGCGGGTGCAGCGAGAACACTTTGAAGCGAAACTCTGTGTAGGGTTCACTTGAGTAAATGTTTGTTTGAAATGCAAAGACACAGGAGGCAGGTTGGGTTTCAATTAAGTTTCATCCACGGAGGAAGAATAGACAGGAGGGGGAAACTCTGCTGCTTTCCCACGATTGAGTCGCCTCCTGGAGCGGCTGCAAACGTCGTAACAGTGCCACCTATAGAATTGCAGCCGAACTGCCGCGCCATAGCAGCAGATGCGAGAAGCGTCGTCTGCTTGCACGCTTGTGCTCGCTGCTCAGGGTATTAGTGCATAGCTCAGATACGCTCGCTAAATGAGACCGGAAATCGTTACGAGTTTTGACTAAGCTAGCCAGATCGCCTGAAAAGAGAGACCATACCGCGATACTTTCGCAAAGCTGTCCACAAGCGCTAAAGAGGTTTGCTTTCACTCTTTCACCTTCGCATGCGAGGGTAGAAATATTTGTGGGAACAAGGCATACAATCTGCGGTAATAAAAAAAACACAGTGGGAGCTTTCGATATTAGAGAAAAGGCAAAAAAAAATTGAAACGAAAAAACAAAAAAAAAAAAACACTTTGATGTGTCTGCTCTCTTCCGAAGCTTGTTTTATGTTGTAACTTCCCGAGAACCAATCGCTCATGCGATTGGTTCTCAGGAAGTTACAACAACCAAACACGTAAAACTGAGAACTACGCGTTTTTAGTGATGTAGCTTGCCTGGAAGTTCGGAGGTTGGTAAAATTTTCGCCGAAGACTTCCGACTCGTTTGGCGCTGCTTTTATCGGTAATTTCAGCGATACTTAGGCCAATTCTTGGCTTCATTTCTGGGCACAAGTAAGTAAAACCTCCGCTCAAAAACTTAAGGTATCGCTTCAGAGAGTCACCAGATCTTTGGCTTGTCAGGGATGTCTGTAAATATAGGCCTAGCGTAGTGTCGCGCCTTCCAACTGTTCCGCTGCGAAAATAATTATCCTAAACGCTGTCGCTTCCCTCTCATTGTCTATCTCCTCTTTATATAGCCCTCGACCATTTTTGCTGCTGTTCTTGGTCAGATGGAGCATTGAAAGCTCAAACTTTTTTTGTTATGCAGAACTGATTCACAGCTCAAGGCAGTCTCCGCTATTCTGTTCAAATCAATTGCCGTCTGCTCAAACGTGCTTCATCAATGTCTGTCTTTCTGTCGCGAGCAGTAGTTCTGTATGACACTGTTATATCGAAGAATGTGCAAAATCTTTCCTCAAGCTACACAGTGAGTGATTTTAGGCATGCGCCTAACTACGATGACATATCGTCTATTTCTTGTTTTCTTTTTAATTCTACCACTTCATTTCTTTTGTTGCCCGCAGAGCATCTGATCCAACATATATAATTAAAAATGCTGGCACTAAGACGTTCCCCTAGCTTCATTTTGTTTTGGCAAACTGCACCGGTGAAAAACTTTCATAGCTGCATCCAGCAGCATTGTGGAGTCTGCAAGAAGCAGATGTAGCAGACGACATTTGGGTGCCGTCGGCGACCACAGGCGCCATGGGCGCGCGCGCTCTCCTCCCGTGGCGGAAAATGAATAGTTCTGTGCATCGCTGCAAGGATACCTGCAAGAACGTTTGCCAACCTCCTCTCTCAGGGAGACATTATCACAACGCCCGCTCGCGCTGTCGCCGGCCTGGAGTTCCCCCTCCCGTCTTTCTTGCTCCGTAGTTTCATCGCTGCTAAACAAGCTGAAAGTATTTTCACTTAACGTGCAATCGACCGTTGCAGGCAGTGGAGACGGTGAAGCGAAAGAGAAGTGTGTTGCGAGCGGGCGGAGGAGGAACACCACCTAGATGTGTAGGAAGGAGGCGGCAGCTACAGTGGGTAAGGGAGAGAGTGACATCAACGCGCAGTTGCGACTTTACCTACTTGGCACCGCTCCAACACCTGTGGCACGACGCGAGCATGCGCAGTGGGGGTGTACGAAGGGACAGCGTTACACAGGCTAGTCAAAGAACTGCTTTGCATCTAACAATTTCAACCACTGGGGCTGCAGCAACCGCACACAGAATCACTGATGTTTTTGACACAAGCCTCCTTCGAAGCCAGCCACCAAAGAGAGTCGTGATCACCACGTCTGCTTTTAGCACAGGGTGTGATGTGACATAGGTGTAAGCTTCGAGGCTTATGCCACATCAACAAAGTGAGGCAATGACTACGACTGGAGACATCGGCAGAGGCAGGGCCGGTGACGATAGTTAAGAGCGTCGTAGATACCAGTGACAAAATAAGACTGATTTCGGACTTTGGTGTCTTAGGAGCAAGTATGACTGACCCTAGTGTTCAGAGCCTCATCACACTCTGTAGGGAATTTTATTAAGTGCTCCAGAAGATTTGCTTAGTGAGCACATATAGGAGTTCAGTACTCTTGTATTTTCTTGTTTATTTGTATTTCTTGTTCTATTTTTTAGTGCAGTGCATTTTCCTTTATTAAATGTGTTGTGCTGCTAAACAAGTACTGCTTCAGTCCTTCTTCCACAGCCACTCAGATTCATGAAACTAGGGCTGTCTAACATGTACTAAAATCGCGCAGTGCATGCGTCTCCCATGAATCACGACAGTGGGTGCCAGAGTATGTTCGATCAGTGGCTGAGCACCACTTGGCCATTGTAGCAGCCGTACAGTGAAGACGTTTGACCACCTAGAGCAATGCAATAACTACGTACATTGGCCGATCATGGTGGTTGGGTCCTGGGACGCCGCAATGACGAGTGGAGCCAGATACCTGGGGTAGTGATCATATGCCAATAATTATTGGTTTACAAAAAAGTTGCATAAGGAAAATTCGACGACGTGTAGCGATCACCATTGGGATAAATTTCGGGAATCGTCAATTGATAAATTTCCCACAGAGCCCACAGAAATTCCTTCCGCTTTGCAAGAGCTGCTCCGCAGTAACACAGTCATGACCACCATTGACGAAGAACAACCTCAACCGGACCTCGCTCTTTTGAGACTCTGGGCGAAGTGACGTCAGGCGGAGCTGTATGCGTCGAGGAATCCAGATGCACCAGGTAGCCGTGCACATGCCAACCATATAGCAGCAAAGGCCCGTCAGCACGAAAAGCAGCTTCCTCGACAGCGGTGGCATGAGTGGTGTGAAAAACTTGGATCTGGCATGGTAAACGGAGTCCTTTGGCATACGTTCAGGTTGATGGAACATGGTTACAAGCAACCTGACTCTGCAGCAAGCAATAGGTTATCGATGCAAAGTACGCCACAAGAATTTGCAGAGCAGGTTGCAAGAGCATTTTTCCCGAAGTATGATAACGCATCTTCTATAACCTGCCCCGAAATGGACGAGCTTGAGCCAAGTGCCAAATCCGATATATCCAGTCCTTTCGGCTTGGCCGAACTGATAGTGGCGATTGAAACTTCACACCAAGGAACAACACCTGGCCCAGACGGTATTCCATACGACGTTTTCATGAACATGGAAGGTGAAGCTCGGGATGCACTTCTGCAGGCTATTAATAAAATATGGGAAACTGGGGACCTCCCACCTGATTGAAAACATTCAGCTGTCGTTCCAATTCCAAAACCCAGAAAGTCTCAAAATAGCCTGCAATCCTTATGCCCAATTTCATTGACTGCTACTGTCTGCAAGCTTGCTGAGAAGATGCTGGCCACACATGTTTCCTGGTGGCTTGAACGACACAAGAAGTACCATCCGGCTCAAATCGGCTTCCGTTCTCATTTGGGGCTGTAGACTGTCTTTCTATCTTGTCGGACGACATTTTACAAGTTTCTCCACACAGCCACGCAGTACGCACTGTAATAGCAATGGACGTAACGAAAGCTTACGGCAACATAAACCATGACGTCATTTTATCCAACCTCATCGAGCGTGGATTTCCACTGCGGGTAGCAAAATTTATTTACTCCTTTCTTCACAACCGCACATTTGCGATAAGAGTAGATGGAAAGCCTGAAGGTTGCTTCATGTCCAAAGAGGTGTCCCGCAAGGATCTGTCTTGGCTCCTCGCCTGTTGAACATTGCTCCAATACGTCTAGCATGGCAATATCAATGAACAGGTGATAACATGGATTCGGGAATACTTGTCCTTGCGTTCTCAGTACGTAGTGGCGGAAGTGGTAAATGGCGCAAAATCGGGTATGGCCAGCGTAACATCTGGTGTCCCTCAGGGCTCAGTGTTGGGCCCCTTGCTCTTTTTATTATTCATAAATGATGTTTCCAACACCATCGCTTCTTCCATCAGATTGTTTGCTGATGATCTAATAATATATAGGGAAGTTACAAGCATCGATGATACCGTTCTTTTACAAAATGATTTAATGAAAATAGAAAACTGGTGCCGTGATTCACATATGCAAATAAACGTGCAGAAAACTGTTCATATTCGTTTCACAAAAAAACGTATAGCATCGACACTTTATAGTCTGTCTGGTTCTCCATTACAAACTGTTTCAGAGTATAAGTACTTGGGCGTATTCCTTACATTATCCATGTGTTGGCACAGGCACCTCGATTACATTACTGCAAAGACAAGTAATGTGTTGGGATTCTTGCGGCGTAACACAAAGCTGTT